GCCTTTATATGATGTAACTAAAAATATGTGATAAAACTTTTACAAATTCTTTTTCAATGTCCAGGATACGATCCTGCGCTTCCCTTGCTGTTTTTCCATTAAATCGTCTTTATCTACATATTTTTTTTATTTTAAAGGGATGTAATCAGGAAACACCCACGTGATGGTAAGTGGGGAGTACCGCTTGTCTGGTGATATTAATGTACCATTCTGAATCATAGAATTCTGTTATTGAAAAGGTTATGACTCTTCCCTTGTCCAATTGTTCGTGCAGGAGCATTACGTAAGTTGTCTTGCTATGGTACCTATATGGCGAAAGACCTAGATCTACTTAGATCTAAGATTGCTCTAACAATTATTCCGATCGGGAATCGAACCCATAAGCCATGTCGCTCTTACTTTAATATTTATATATAACATTAACGATATTTCAAAAATATAAGAAGAAGATTTTATAAATTACGCCATAAAAGTATTACCTTTGAAGGAGCTATACAACAAACTATTTAGCAGTTTTAAGTCTCAATTATCTCAATACATAATTGATAACTTTTCTTTTGAGTCATAAAGCTGCTAACTGTTTGGCGACCATTATTTTATTTCATATTTGTATAACATTCTCATGTAAGTGACATTGTATTGTCTTTTTGGGAGTAAATTTCTTTAACCTCAGATTTCGTAAAAGATTACTCAAAATTACTCAATATTAAGCCTGATGTACTATTTCGCTTGTTGGCTTGCAACATGGTTCCATTATATTTATTTCCGACCCACGCTCTTAAGGTAAATGATACAGTCGAGTTTAGCTGTCATAACCATATTAGAGTCACAATATATTATTTTGGTTTAGTTCTCTGTTGTTAAAATGAAAGTATAATTGTTGACGTATAAACGAAAAATGTGGATGTGCTACTTTCATTATTAACAGTTAAACTACAAATTCATTTCTCACTTTACATTTTGCGCAGTATAATTCAAAATTTAAAAAAATTATAGCGACATCTCAAGGAATAATAATTTTTGATTATTTTAGTGCTACTTTCTGCACTCTTTTCTTTTCTTTACACATGAAACTTTAAATGCTAATTTTTTTTTAGATAAATTGTCGAAACATTTTTGGGGCTCCGCTCTAAGCAATAGGGCTAAGCGGCCGTTATTCTCCCGTTAAGAGGGTAATAAGTTTTACGAAATGTTATTGATTGCAAAAATTATAAACTAAATTTGTTTTGATGAAAATGTGATTTTGACATGACGAAAATTTTAGGAAGTATAGTTTACTTGCATATTTATCAATACTAATGTTATAAATGCGAAAGTAGCTCTGTCTGTCTGTCTCGCTTTCACGGCAAAACTACTGAACCCATTTAAATGAAATTTGGTACACAGATAGTCTAGAGCCTGAGAAAGGACACAGGCTATTTTTTAATTGATAAAAAAAAAAAAGTGTTGTAAATGGTTGAAAGAATTTTATTTCAGGGCCTCAACGCGAGCGAAGCTGCGGATGTAAAGCTACTATTTGAATAATTATGTAATATTATAGGGTAAACAATTAATATTTGCGAAATTAATGAACGTTTTCTAATTTCAGATCAGCTTATAACTCGATCTTATCTATATTAAGCAGTCGATCTTATCTAATTAATGTGTTTATTATGTTTTGGCTAAAGTAAGAGGATCCTGAGCTTAGTATATACTTAAATAATAGTATATTATCCAATCACTTAATGTACACTCTGGTATTCTAAAACATGTATTTTATTAATTGTCCTTTAATTGTGGGAGGGCAACGCAGTTTGTACTGTTGCTCGAATGGGAAGGCTCGTCCGGGTAAGTATCACGGCGTCACAGAAGGCCGGTGTGAAGAGGAAGTATTGTACTTCCGCGTTTCGTCTGTTGAGTGAGGTAGCTGAGGTCCAAAGTTTAAAGGATGGTAACTCATCTGCAACCCCTGAGGAGTTATAAAGCATCATAGGCGACCATAATCGCTTAACATTAGGTGAACCACCTGCTCATGTAGCAACGTTTCACAAAGAAAACAAATTCTCACTCCCAGATCACAATCTGTATGCATTATCTTGCCAATCCGCAGTGGGGCCGCATGGTGGACTATGCCCTGATACCCTCTGTATAGAGGAGGCCTTTGCCCAGAAGTGGGACATGTATAGGCTGTTACTTTACTTTCAAGTGGTTAATGGGATAATATTACAGAATGTAACAAGTTCCTTAAAATTATTTTGTCTACATGCGTACATTTTTCCACACATAATACATTTCATAATGACATTTGGTCATTACAAAATATCAATCTGTTCTCATAGTGCGATAACGATTCTCATATTATAATTTAGAGCGTCGAGTTAAATGCTCACGTTCGAAGCAAAAACAAAACTAATAAGTGGAGTGCCCTTCACCTGAATATGCTAATGAATTATTAGTCATATGTTTTTTGAATTGGGTGTACGTCTGACGTTATGGGTGCCCGATGTGATATCGTTTTAAGGGAAGACGGCGAACGAAGCAGATTGTCCGATGGTAAATGACCACTTACCATCGGGCAAACTGGTGACAACCGTTGTTTATGCAAAACGGTGACCACCGTTGACTATGAACAACCATTGCACTAGCGGGGTCAGATTTAATAAATGTAAAATTATCGGGCTTAATTGACAACATTCCGATGCTTAGTGGGTTCGATCCTCACTACTGGATTAATATTGTGTGTTCAACATAGTGTTTTGTGTCACTGTCTGGGTGTTTATTTATCTATAATATGTATTTATTTACGAAAGGAAAGTATGTTTAAGTATGTTTATCGGTTATCTTGTACCCATAGTACAAGCGTTGCTTAGTTTTGCACTAGAGGACGTTGTGTAAAAATTTGTCTCAAAATATATTTTCTATAAGCTTTGAAAATGATTTAAACACCAAAAAAGATACGGTTAATAATTTTTGATTGGTAATCAATAATATGGTTATTTTAATAGCATCGTGTAGTCAGTATTAGCTGAGACTTATAACATTAAAATCCATAAAATGATATAGTTATCAAATCATGGCTTCTCCATAATTGACAACGTTGTTTTTACTTTGTTTAATTTTTTTGTTTGATAGATGATATTGATGCCTCTTCTATCTCAGCGAAAAGTATCTTTGCAAGAGTAATACTTAAGAATTGGGTGTGTTAAAATCGTTTTAAATCAAAAAGCATATGGTACGTCTCATAATGACAGACACAAAAGCTTTCTAAACGTTTCATCATAGCCCTCGGTACAATGTTACACCGATACAAATAATCAAGTAAATGTTTAATCCTGTGTAGGCTTGGATTGATGTGGCAAATGGGTTTCGTTGCGATTGCGTTTTGAAACGTGGCCTATCTGAGATGAGCCGGTACGATATCTCGAGGTCGGGCCTTATTCTGTGCCAGTGTTTAGGTTTTACAGCCCGCGGGTACGATACGACGACGTAACGACATATTTGTTGCGTTTTAATTAACTCTTTTCTATGGTAATGGGTGATGGGTATGCGATTAACCTCATGATAAGAGTAGGTGGTTACTGCCGTCGATGAACATTTACAGTAGCCAATGGTTGTATTACCTAGGGTTGCCAATTTTTAAGAAGGAAGAGCCTGTAAAACTGACTCACCAGACGAAACGCAAATATATGAATACATTAACTTTTCATTAGACTTCTGTCTGGCTGTTATTTTTGGAACGAGCCACACTTTCTTGTCTGTTTGTCTGTTCGGTAATATTTTATATTGCATTTATTTATCGATCAGCTAGAGACTTGATAATTATTATTATCTTAATATTTTTTGAGCTGTAAGAAAATTACGTATACTATTTGACGTTATACTTCTTTTGCGCGCGTTAGGGAAAAATGATGAGAGTGAATTTTTACGATGCTCGCGCACACCGTCGCGAAACACCGACACCCTGAAGTTCGCTAGACATCTACGTATGTATTCAAGATATTTATATAAGGTAACTTTAAGTAAACTTTATTTAACTAGATAATGCGTTATAATAAAGCTTTCAATGTTTTAATAACTTTTTTCTATTGTTAGTGTCGTTTTTTCTACAAACGTAGAATAAGGCGAAAGATAAAATTATTGAAAATATTTTTATCTTGTTACGCCAAATAAGTATAACTTTTAACGCGTGTACATAATTCACACACTTTTAATTAACATATTTTAAATTTCAAGTTCGATAGAACGATTTCATACGTGTTTTGATATCAATTTAATTATTATTTTTCTGAGACTGATGTTATTTTTGCGATAAATTTTGTTTAATAATACAAATAGTTCTTATTGTATTTTTCTGTAGCGACACCGTAAAGTGTAACTGCCCCTTAACATTATGATTCCCATAACAGCAAAAGGTCGATTGTCTTATTGATTACGCACAATAGGTTCGTACGCAATTGTAATTAATAAGAAATATATAAGTTTTTTATACCAAAAGCGCCAAAACGGTTACGCCCACGTTCTATTAGCAAATCGATTTGAATAGGGCAGCGTAACAAAACGGTTCAAATTTAAACTGACTTTGAGAAATTATTAAATAATTCATTCACCTGTTTACATAGAACTGACATAAACTGTTTTTCCCTTGAGCGGTAGCAGATGTGTTGTCAACTTTTAAACAAGTGGTTACCTGACTCACCAGACGGAATGTCAAATTATAACACTTCCACTTAATTAGATACCAGATACGACTGCAGATCATTAGGTGCAATGGTACATGGGGGTTGTACCGATTAATTCCTCTCTCTTCACCGTAAAAGATCTTCTGTTAAGATGTATTTTAAACTTTTCCCACTGCAAGGTTCTTCCTTTCTTGCGCTAAAGACGTCTCCTTTAGCGCGAGAAAGGAAGAACCTTGCTTCGTTGAATGTGCAGAGAGGAGAAAGAGAAAGAGTCCGGTCCAGTTCCGGTCCAAGGAGGCTTCCATTGTGCCTGATCAACCAACTTTGCACGCACGCAGATAGATGGCAGTCCCTCATCCTATTCCCGCAACCATCCAGAGCCACCTCACCGATACGGCAGAACATCTTATGACGTTCTTCCCACCATCAGGGCTTTCTGCTCTATCACGACGTCCGGAGAAAGATCAGCCCAGGGAGGGCCAAGGGAAGATCACTTACTCCCCTCCAATGAGGTTCGCTTAGAGAGCCATTTAAAATAATTGTACTGGTACTTTAGACGCCGTATACGTTTTCACCTTGTCACGTAACGAGAGGGCATGTGGTTCTCCGTTTTTGCACTCTGCCATTTGCATGCTGATTGTCGATACGGCTTCGCGCGTCCCGGTGTGATTGACAGGACAATGTGTCACATGCTAATGTGCTGGGGGCGCGACCGGGGTTGTCTCGGAGCCGATGCGACGATGAGGCGTTGGATGCACGCGATTCCAATTTGATGCTGTTTCATTAAACAATATGAATAATCTTTATTTATATAATTCTTCTGTGCGTGTGTTACTGAACTCCTCCTAAACGGCTGGAGCGATTTTATTGAAATTTTTTGTGTGTCTTCAGGTGAATTAGAGAATGGTTTAGATTCCCAAAGTTATACAAAAAAGTTAGAAATTTTCGAATTAAGACATGTGTATAGGACAACGTCTGTCCGGTTCGCTGGTAAACAAATAAATATTTCAGAAACATAAAATTATTACTAATACTCCGCTGTCCGTCTGTCTATCTGACTGTCTGTCCGTCTGTCACCAGGCTGTATCTCATAGACCGTTATAGTTAGGCAGTTGATTTGATTTTGTTAGGCAGTTGAAATTTTCACAGACGATGTATTTCTCTTGCCGCTATAACAACAAACAAAAAACGAAAAAACAGAATTAAAACATATTTAAGTGGAGCTCCCATACAACAGACATGTTTTTATAGAAAATGGTACAGAATCCTACGTGCGTGAGCCCTTGACTTGGGCGGTTTTTTACACAACGTTCTCTAGTCCCAAACTAAGCTACGCTAGTATTGTTGGTACTAGACAACTGATAAACATACTTTTCTTTTGCAAATAAATACATATTATACATATCTAAACACCCAGACACTGGAAAAACACTATGCTCACCTCAAAATATTTTTCCAGTATAGGAGTCGGACCCACACCGTCTAGCGCCAGAGGCCTAACCTCGACGCCAATTGGGCCTGAATATGAATAAGCCAAACCAAGCAGTTAGGCAATTTGAGAAATATCTTATGTAAAATAAATCAGTTGTGAACATTTGAAGTTGTTTTTAATTTTCATCATTAACATGTGAAAAATATTCAAGTGTCAGCTTGCATAGAGATCTTCAGCGTCTGCCGTTAAGAACTATTAAATTCGAAATGTCCAAGCAAAGCTAATCAAATAATTCGAAAGGTACCACAACTACTATTAATACTGGAGCGAGGTTTATATTTGAAATCTCTATTAATTTACATGCACCTTTATACATACATACAATAACATTTCCAATGTTCAAGTGTCGTCTAAAAATATAACATTCAAAAATTCAACGCAATGCTAATTAAGTAGTTTGTATTTTACTAACTTGTTAGTAACTTTAGTACTTTTGGAAGGGAAATCACGTGGATGTATAAAACTGGGAAATGAGGAAGAATTAGGGTTTCGAAACTTTAATCATAACATATGAAGGTATATAAAGTTGTGCCAAACATAAAGTTGTGTTCACTACGTACTTCTTACAATGGCATGTCATTATAACTTTTTCAATTACAATAAATAGCGAATGACATAACTTTCATTCAAAAGTTGGGAAAACCTTTCATATGACACATGTAGTAATAACTAACCGTTTAGTTTAACTTTTGATTAAATTGTTACTTAAGAAGTCTACTCTAATTCTACTAGTCTACCTTATCACTCTTATAGCTTTGGTAAGGGCCACGTAACAGTTTTTTTTATTTATTTTTTAAGTACCACGACCTCACAGAAGATCGGCGTAAAGTGGCAGAGGACTGTTTTATTTCTGCGTTTCGTCTGAAGATTGAGGTAACCGGCCTACTTTATTAAGGGGCGGCAACGCATCAGCTGTAACCCTACGGTGCTGTCAATGTCCACGGGTGTCTGTTATCATACATGGGAACCGCCAGCTTGCTTGTCACCTTTTCACAAAAAACACACACGTTACACATAATGCTAAATAGCCTAAAGGCTTGCTAAGTGCAACCTAATTAGTAACCTAAGGTTGATCACAAATATTACTGTTATTATTTATGTCTTAATCTGCGTCACTAATCTTATGACGATGTTGCTTCTATTGTGTTAGTATTGTTAAAGGGACAATAAACAGATTCATGGTTGGGGTCTTTTGGACCATGTCCAAATGAACGAGCACATTTGGCGTTGCCAACTGATAAGCGGGTGGTCAAATGCTGCTATTATAAACAGCTGGGATGAATTTCATGGTGGTCTTATAATATACCTCCCATCAAGGCCTTACTGTGACTACCCAAATCTGTGACAGATTCATGGCACAGCGAACAGAACAATTCTTAAGTATTTTAAATAGCTGTCGAGCAACACGCCCCAGCTTCACCCATGTTCAATTCAAATGTTACAGACATAGTTTTTTTTTTCATGTAACACCACACGTATATAGTCTTCAGCCTAGAATTATGTGCCTACCAAATGATGAAAGAATTTTTGAAATAAGAGCTATGTATTCGGCGGTTACCTTCTACACATAAACTAAGAAAAATCAGCGTGTTGATTATTTTTGTGTTTTTCAGCACTCTTAAAAAGCATGGTGACACGGTTCATCATTTGTTATGGTTTGAAATAAACATGGGCAACTAATAAATGGCTACTCCGATCGGGTAAAAATAAAATTACCATCATAGTCTGTAATAGCATTTCTTAAACCGTATCGACCGCAGCACAGTGACGTCAATGGAATAAGTTTTTATTTATTAACAATTTATCATTTTTTATAAGCATCATTTAAATGTAACATAATCATCTCGTTTGAGTAGCAAAGTTATTTTGTCACTATCGCGGCCACTACGCTATAATTTCAGCCTAATGGACGTCTTCCGGTTATTATCAAAACGTAACAATGGAAACTGGAAAATACGGAGTGATAACAGTGTTCTCATTATTATTCATTACATAATCTTTTCCTCGTGAAAAAAAACAATTTAATGCAATTCATAAAATAAAAATTCTAGTTTATTTTAATTATAAAGTTGTGTTTTAACTTTTAAAACAGAGTAGATGGTTCTATTTTCAACCGAATTCAAAAAAAAAGGGGGGGGGGGGGGGTTCTCAATTCAACTGTATTTTTTTTAGTTTGTTACCTCAGAACTTTAGATTGAGTGAATCGATTTCGATGATTTTTTTTTATTTGAATGCTGGTGCTTCCCATGTGGTCCCATATTAATTTCATTGTTCAGTATTGGATCTTGGGGCCCGGAGACACTAGGGGAACTCCTGAAAATCATTTATAAAATGAATACTGAGCGAGTAGTATTTGTAGTAGATTTTGTTTCTCGTTACTAAAAAAATGGACTTGTCACATCAGTGCATTTACGATGGTGCAACGATGTCTTGAAATCTTTATTAATGTAAGTAATGCTGCCCAGAATTTCAGTAGTAGCGGTCTTAATATAAATTTTCACTATAAAAAAATATATACATATATATATATATATATATATATATATATATATATATATATATATATATATATATATATATATATATATATAGCATCATCATGATTTCAGCCTGTTTGAGTCTGCTGCACGATCCCGAGCCACCTGCATCCATCGACTTCCCGCACATTTGCACATATAACATATTCAACTCTAAAAAAATGTAGTCTGTTGAATTGACAAGGCAATGACTTAATAAGCAGCGAAGGTAAATTGAAGGAGAGTGGCCCTGTCAATGTCCTCTGAAGAATCATTGCCCGCGTACATACATTTGGATGCACCGAAATTATTCACTTTCGGCTAAGCTTCGGCGCAAGGTGTGCGCAATCCTAATATTTTGAGACGCTTTTGCATAGCGTGTTTGTTTGTTATCAGACGTCATGGGTGCACCGGCTTCTCGGTTTACCGTGCAAACGTCGGCGGCACGGTGAGTTCCACTTTTGAAATAAATATTTGTTAGCCCTAATAAATACTTGTTTTTTTTTTTTTCTCTCTTATTTCGGGCGTTCGACAGAAGTGTATCGACCAGCAGCGATTTTCGTCAGTTCGAGATTGCGAGAACTAAAGTGCATCGTACATATGTATTACAAGTGTGAATCGCTCTCAGTAACGAACGAGGCAATAAAAAGTTATGGTCGCTGTTTGATCAAAGATATAGATCCGTCACAATTATCTGTGGGTTACACAAATACTTGTCCCGTGTTGGAATCGAAATCAAGACTTCTGATGCCGAAGCCAATTGCTTAGCAACGACGCCACGGAGTCACTCAGCAATAAGTAACAATTCAAAAATTCCTTAAATTAATATATTAATTAGAAATAACCTCTCTAAAAACATATTAGTCCACATAATTTAAAGTATTACCGGCGCCGCCGAGTCATCTTCATAAATATACTAATTTATTATTGGTAAATATTATTATAAGCATTCCTAATTTACTTCAAGTTGAATTCTTTTACTTTAAGTATCTAAACACTATGCTGCTGTCTTTCAATATTATCCCAAAAAATTCAGATAAGTCATATGCTGGTGCAGTGGTATGATGGGAAGTTTAAAAATTGGGCTCCTTTAAGAGAATCGAATTATCCCTTAAACTGTTTTTGTTTTTAGGAAAAGTTACTAAGTGATGCATTTCCCACCTTAAAGAATAGTCACCACACTGACTAGACGAAACGCCAAAACTTCACATTGGTCTTATGTCAGGCCGGAGTACTTTCCTGGACGAAATTCTCATCTGTAAAGCAGTAAAAGTTGTTTACCCCTATCAAAGGACACACTTAAGACCTTTGGATAAGTTTGTCCGTGTTTGTCTACACGTAATTTGTATGTGTAAAATGGCACTTAAACTCAAGGCATTTTGTGCTACATTAAGCGTATAACACTTATTTTTTAAATATATTCAAATATAGTGAAAATCCATCTTAATTTTCAAATTTCCGTAGTGACATTCAAGAAGCCTATAAGAAGCAAGTTTACTAAACACCGACTTAGTAGAACAGACGGACAGTAGTCAAGAGTCCTTGACGGCTCCTGACTTTGTCTACCTAGACTATATAAATAGCCTAGGTTTGCTTATTCAAATATACTGATTTAAAAATAAGAAAAAATAAAAGCATTACTTAAAATTGGTATATAATTTATTTTTATCGGAGTCTATCAGCCGAATTTTATCTAGCGTGAGCATTAAATTACCGCTATAGCAGGTATGGTGCTTTAAATTTTTTTAAAAATAAGTCTATTACTGAATCAACTATATCTGTCATTTTATAAGGAAGTATAACTGAATACAACTTGAAAACGATAAAGTAAGATGTCATTGCCAGTTTGGTTCCTCATTACAGTAGACACTAGGTTTACAAGTTTTATACGGTCCTTTAAATAGTCTCCTATTGTCAGGTTCACTGTCATCAGTATAATTTATTACTGACCTTGATCCGTCTTTCATTTTAATGTTTAAATATAACTAAGTTTGAAAGCATCAAAATTAGGTCACTAGATAAATGATTTTAACTCAGTAAACATGGAATAATGGGGAATTTCCAAACATAATAGTTGTAAATTTGACACGCTTCGAAAGTCCATTACATGATTGTCTATCCCTCAGAAACTGAATGCTTAGGCTAGCTGATAATAATCTTTATTTGTCATTTATTCCAGGGACCAACAGACAGAAAGTGAATCCACAGTACGTGTACGTGTGCTTGGAACTCGAGTGGTGGCGCTCTCCGGGCGACCGGCGATGTTTGCGTTGTGAATGGAGCGCGAGCGTCCAGGGTTCAACGGCACGTTGGCAAACAGATCCCTGAGATCTGGTTGCACCCTAATGGTCAAGCAGTGGGCGATTTAGCTTCTGAATACTTACTTTGTTCAGTCTTCTCCACAGCTGGCGTCCGTTCCTAAACCTAAACTCAGTGCGACCGACCAAGAAATCAAAGAAAATAATGGTGCATAACCCTTAGAAAGTAGATAGCTAGATATATTTTTGGAGGTAGACAGTCATGTATCATAGACAACGTGTATTTAGTAATACAAAAGCTCCTGACCAGGAGTATTTTTACTTTAATGTTCAAGAATATATTGAGGACAAGGATGTGTGTAAATGACTCTTGCTCTGCACTTGCAAGACCCCTGGCTGCTGCTGATACCTATATAAGTTTGTATAATTGTGTCAAAAAGAAAATAACAAAAAGGACAAGACCGCAGAGTTTCTTGCCGGTTCTTCTCTGTGCAGGTTTATTTTAGAACCGGTGGTAGATTTCTTGTTGACGTCAAATAAGAGATTAAGTTAAGCCTATACTGAATAACGATACTTTGACTTTGATTTTAAAAGACATTTTTGTAAAGCTTCAGATCCCTCTTGCCCTAGGATAGTCCGATCCGTTGGCGGTGAGTCACTCGGCGTTATGATTAATTCACTTTTGTTACGTCGGGCCCGCCACTACGCTAATCTCGTTCTGGCAACAATAACCAGGGTTCGCCCGCGTGGCGTGGGCGCGAGGTTGGCTTACGAAATTCGACCCGGGCTCGGTCGATGAGTCACTTTGTTATGTTTATTAATTGTGTGTATCGGTACTTGCTATGCCGCGCTCGCGGATTGATGAGATAATGTATTCCGGCGCAGTGACAGGTTGTCACAACGGCCGCACGCGAAATCCCATAAGTCTTTAAATGACATGGCACCGTTTCGAAGGTTCGATTGCTTCGACTGCTGCACCGAGTTGAGGAAAATGTTTTTACACATTAATTCGAAGATAACAGTTTATAAGTAACATTAGAGTAGTAATTTCTGTATTATAAATTGTGACATTTAATTAAGAATTGATTGTAACCTTTGTATAAGTAGTATAGTAAAATGAATTTGGTTGATACCGTTAACATTTTGCATACTATATAAAAGTTAGCTTAACATGTGGTTCAGTATTGATGATTTGTAACATCTCTTGTTATCTAGTTATATTATCTCATGTTAAAAGCAAAAGAAATATTATGATTATGTTTATAATTAAGTAAGAAATTTACGATAATTAAGAAAATAAAAGTTGCCGGTTGCTGATCGGATTTTAAGTGATAACCGCCGGCCATGAACATTAGCAACACCCTTAGGGTTGCAGATGCGTTGCCACCTTTTAATAAATCATAAAGCGCATCACAAAAAAATTGTCTTATTTCAGGGGACAAAGTGGTCTGCAAATTAGATTTCCAAGTAGTTCATATTGTATTATATAATGTAGATTACTCTCGTGGGGCTACGCTGCAGCTTCACTGTTACACGAATGGGCATCTCAATCCGGGGAAGTACCACGATCTCACAGAAGACTGCGCTGAAGTGAAAGTGTTATTCCTTCGCATTTTGTCTTGTGAGTGATGTAACCGGGGCCTTCTATACTGATAGCTGATTCAGCGACATATTTGTAACCCCACGGGTATTGTAATTTCCCATGGCCTTTTGCTATCAGTTAACATCAGGTGAAATGCAAACTTGCCATCTTCTTACAGAAAAAACAGTAATGCTGTTTGTTTATGTCAACTACAAAGTATTGTTAAAACATATCTGTCATTGCACTGTCACTGCAGCGATGTCATTGAAAGTGTAACGCGAATAGTGAAGCAAAAGTGGTTTGGGCTGTATTTTAGGGCCAAGTTCATATGCGCAATGGCTACAAACTTATCACCCGTGGGTTAGATTCCGGGGGAGTAGAGATTCGATTTCGCATTGTGTTACCGCGCGTACTCTCGAACGAGTCAAGGTTGGAGCTAATGAATAAATTAGTGAACGTATGACCCGCTAATCCATCGCTTTTGTTCTCGAATAAAGGTTAAGATCACATGCGGTGCTGTGTCTCATTATAGAATCGCTTGGGAGCTCGCCTGCATGCATTGTTTTATTGTACGAGCGTTGGATTATATTAATTAAATAATACGAGATTTTATATCGGAGCAGAATTCAGCAGAGATGCTGGTTGCCAATTCAACAACAAAAAATAAAACACTTACGTCTATCATCCAGAGAGGTAAGTGGTGGTTATGGATTTATATTTTTGTACTATAAAATGTTTCGAAATACTTCATTAATCTTCTGCCATTGAAGGAAACCTTCATGACAAAATTCTCCTTTAAGTTTGTTATTATTTCGTAATCTGCTATCAAATGTCGCGACTATGAGTATCATATTTCTTAGAAATTTAAATTGTTTATAGTGCTAATCTTTGCACTTAGTTGGTCTTTAATAAAATGTTTGTTTGTGTCTGTGGCACTGTGGTAATGTAAGTAAAGTGGAACTAATCTGTATAAGGGACATCTAGGCTAATTTAAGCCACGTCTAGGGCCTAGTGTACATCGTCATACAATATCTGTAAAATATTTGATTTTGTAATTTGTTCGAGACAGCCTGGTTTCCTAAGGAGTTGCTCTTGTGTTATCGGAAGATTTACGTACATAAATTTCACATCGAAAAACACCCGATCTGAAACATCCGAAGTATCTGTGGGTCACACAAATAATTGTCCTGTAAGGGAATGAACCTAAGACATCGGCGCCGAAGCCAATACCTTGGTAGTTACCAAGGTGTTGGCTTCGGCGTCATCAAAACCGCTAGGGAGCCATGAAAAGAATAATTATTACAGATTTATAATTAGGAAATCAGATGCAAGGTCTGTAACGTTTCTTTTATAGGATGGTGTAGTTAATGATGGGGAGATTTAATAAAAGATTTATTAGCAGTTAAGAAGTTGTATTCATCCCCCCAGTTTAAAGTTACAATCCCTGGACTATCTCAGATACAATATATTTTCAAAATATAACAATAATAATGAGTTGGGCGTCTTGTCTGTTAGGAACAGACTGTTGTAATAAATACAATTAAATATCTCAGGGAGTCGTGAGTACATAGGACCTACACATTACTTTGTGCGACCATAAAAGGTTAAATAATTAAATTAAATTAATTTGAGATGGTAAAACTTATGCAATTCAATTTAAAAACTAAGTCCAATCAGGTAGTTATTTAAAATCCATGTCACCGCAGAGACATCTGCCCTGTGTGCACAGGTCAGCGTTGAGCTCAGAACCAGTAGATAAAGTCTGGCCAAGTGTAGTGTGTAGAGCCACACTGTTGGGGGGTATGTAGGAGACCTCCTGCCAACAAACACTAAATTGTAGAACTAACAAAGGCAGGGATTTGAATCCACCTACAATTATAAGATGTGAAAAACTTACCAACTGGAGGTAAAAAACAATATTTAATAGAGCAGCAGCTCAGACCAGCTTGCCAGCCACCTATGCCTTCAGCATCTACCTGTGATATTCGAAAAACCATACTTAGAAACACGAGACAATAAATTCTCAACCTACCTTCATGTGAGATTTCTAAATACATTCACAATGCAAGTCTTTTACAATTTTAGTAGGAAACCAGTGAAAATAGCAAAAGATCTTACCACGAGGGATAACAAATCCAGCACAGAGTTTCCCAGACAGCAATCACAAATAATACGACCAGGAACGTGTTCTGATTTCAACCTCTAGCCATGCACTGTAAAAAAGCGAATTGATAAGAAAACGAAGTACGTAAACAAAACAACCACTGGCATGAACAAAACCAAGTAACTACTTACCAGTCGAAGATAATAGATCCACAAAAACTAATTTATCCAATGCCAATTTGAACCGGCGGCAATCTCAAATGACAAGTACGACCAAATGAAGTTAACTTTTTGATTCGACCTTTCGAAAGGGCAAAGGTTCATATGACATGCAGCCTAGTCTTTAGAAAAACAACAATTTAGACAAAGTGATGAAATCACACGTTACAGCTCGAGTTAATTATGACAGTTAAATCTCCCGTACCTTGAACGTGTATAAAAGCTTAAATTATATGAAATATAACGGGATGAAATTCGTAAATCTAGTTCCACTTAAAATGGACAGTTATGGCGTAAATACAATTACCATTGATATACCTTACATTTACCGTAAACTATGCAGATAATGACTACGTTTACTTGGACTTAATGAATAAACGGATGAATATGCTTTTGCACATCGAATGATGATCTCAGAGACTTAGAGTGGGAATCGTGTAGAAATTGGATACGTTACTTTAGATAGATGGGATACGAAGGGCTAAACAGAATGCTGTTTTCTTAATGTAAGAAGGTGGCAAACGAGCTGGCGGTTTACATCAAGTTAAGTGATAACTGTTATATGTGTTGTAGGAACAGGGAACGTGAGTCAAAGACGAGCGCTGCATTCAGACTGTTTTATTAATTAATTTGCCATCCACTCTCAACATGCTAATACATAATATTATGACCACTCCCTTTTTCATGCTAGACAAAAGATATTAACGCTTCTATATCGCCTAAGTACTTACGTGAATTTAATTCAGTCCATTAGTGTGTAGAAATAATTAGTTTATAGATCATTCATTAAACACTCATGGACATTTGCAACACGCGTAGGGTTGTCGCCTTTTAATAAAGTGGACCCCGACTACCTCACCAGACGAAACGCAGTAGTATAATAGTTCCGCTTCAAGCAGATCTTCTGTGAGGTCATTACTGATATACACTATGAATTATCGCTATAGATTGGTGACGTTTCAACTGTGGTAGGGCCACGCAGCAGCCTCGGCTGTAGCACGAATGGGCAGGCTCGTCCGGGTGAGAATCACGACCTCACAGAAGACCGGCGTGAAGTGGAAGTATGACAAATACTTTCGTGTTTCGTCCGGTGAGGTGGCCGGAGCTCAATTTTCAAAAGGTTGTGAACGCACCTGTAACCCTCGGGTGTAGCAGACGTCCAT